ACAAAAGCCAGGTAGTAAGTAGAGAGAGGACAAGTGTTAACTCACTTTAAGTTTCCAAGCAATTTCATACTAGCCTGGAAAAGTTCCAAACAGCAGTAAATGCATCACTTGGGTTTACTCACAGATGGTACCTGTGAAGGCAGATCCCAGCTAAGCAGTACTTACTGACCTCGTAACAGAGGAACAAAGATTGTATTTTAACAGGAGCTCACCAATCCTTAAAAATGCATTAAGAAAGACATTATTATTGGTGTCTACTAGAAAAACTGATCAGATACTGCAATTTTACCACAATATTAGGCTTTAAAAACCAGTTTCTGGAAGATGTATTTCTACTTCTTCCCAATTCTCTCTGTGTATTCTTTTATATATATATATATATAAAAATTTATACACACAGCAAACCTAAGAATCTCAGAAAGTTCAGAGGAAATACCACAGACCACAAACTATAAAATTAAAATATTATTTTTTTTCATTTTTGCTGTGACAGAGTATTTTTGAGTTAAAATTCAAATTCTGTGTTTTTCATGGAGGAAAAAAGTGTAATACTATTGTTTCATCATCAAAATAAATTTGTGAGACAGCATAACTCACTAATAAAAAATGAACATGAGAAAATATTCATCTAAGCACAACACATGCAAATATAAGAGATGCACAAATGCCTACAGGCATTTATATATATTGTGTGTATATATTTATATATATTGTGTGTATATATTTATATATATTGTGTGTATGTATATTTGTTTCCTGAATAAATTAAATGCAGTATTTTGATCAATCTTTGCCAAGTCAGTTAACGATTTCCTCATTTCTTACCTAAGAAAGTGACAACTTCCAGATTTTGCTAAACTGAATTTGTTTCTCCAACTAAAAGCCTTCAGGAAAGTTGATGTGCCACAAAAATAAGATGAAGGAAAGTTGAAGCTTTCAAGAAGAGGCAACTTCCTTTTTTTTTTTTGTTATGTTTTTGTTGTTGTTGTTGTTGTTTTTGTAAAAGCTCCCAACAGAGAAAAACTACTTGTTGCATCTGGTGTGTGCCACTTAAGTACAGATTGTGCACATTCAACCTTTGAGAGCCCTTCCAAGGCAGTCACCATCCTTTGGTGCTCCACCAGACCCAGATGTAAAGGTGATGAACAGCTGATCAAGACAGCAGAGCTGCAGAAAGGCAGATGTACATTCACCATTCATCTTCCACTTTCTGGCATCTACAGCCCTCCCTTTGTTATTTCACAACTGCAGCCAACTTCCTACACAAGAGAATCATCCTTCTCAACTAGTTCAGTGTATCAAAATTAAGCAATTCTCAAAACCAAAACTCAGATGTTTACAGCTTTTGGCTTGTGACCCTATCCTCAGCTGTTAGGTGAAAAGATATCAAACAAGTAGGGCAGATATGATGTCACTCCACTCATATCCTCTCTGCTCACTGCCCTTCAGGGCAAGTGGATTAGTACATACAGATGAAACAAAATGTGCCTACACTGCTGAAAAGCCATGAAAAGCCATGAACTAGTCCTTGTTTTGAAGTGCTCCAAAGCATATTCACATTAGAGATCTCTGGCATTGATGACTAGAGAAGATGCTTCACACTGCACCTCCAACATGTAAAAAAAAAAAAATAGGCAAAAAGACTGGGAAATGCTGAGATTTATAAAATCTACTCAGCCTTAAAGGGTTTAGTAGATCAACTGTAACTATTTCAGAATTCATTTAGACGAACTGATAACGATGCTTGACAACACTGAACAATAAGTTTAGCCATCATCAGGAACTGCTCTGCATGTTTTTGTAATTATTAACTGGAAGGACATTTTTTCTACCTCACCTTAGATGGCTGGCAAAAAAACTCTGAACACTGAACAGTGGATTGACAAAAGGCCAGGCTCCAAGAATTTTGGTGTAGGTATGGCAAGTCAGCCCATCAAACTCTTATCAGCAGTGCTTTTTTTCACCCCCATTAATATCATATATGTTTAAATACATCATTAATTGAAAGAAAAATCAATATAAAAGCAAATATAAAGCAAACTTAAGTAATATAAAGCTTTTGCACAGGTTTTTTAGTACTCAAGACAGTGGAAAACCGAGAAGACTCTGCAAAGAATCCCTGTAACAGGAGATAAAACCAAAAACCAACAGATGTTTATAACCCGAGAAGAACCATCACGTATGAGGAGCAGAACAATCTACAAGTTTTATAAAACCAGGGGCTAGAAGTCATGCAATAACTGCACCAAACTACAGCCAGCTGAGAGCACAAAAACTCTATCCTCTGGATGTTTTGAAAGCAATAGCTGACTAACCAGAGAACATGATAAACTTACATCTGCCTGTGCGGTCAAACCTTAACATACTGTGTTGGAGAACCATAAACTCAGGGTCAAAACACTCACTGTATACCTGGAAAAGTGTTCCCAATCATAAAGATGATCTGAATACGAGGCAAACCAGTGAACCCAGGCTTACTGCTATTAAAGCACTGAGAAACATTCTCTTCCATGATCATTTGGAAGAGAGAGATTTCCTCTCAGTGCCGCTCACCCAGGCCACACAGCTGTTGTTCGTTCTGCTCATTCAGGAGCAGACTTTAAGGTAAGTGAAACATGAAAGAAAATGGATATATCTCTCTTATTTGTGTCATTTGTCACTCTGGAAGCTGACACATCAGCAAACGTAAAACTACTAAAAGGAAAGCTTCAATAGATTTAATATTCTGACTGAAAGTTTAAATAGCCTTCCCCCTACCTCAAATATTTTTCATCTTATCTAAGGAAATCAGAAAAACAAACACTGTATTCCTAGAAATGCTAAAGGAAACATTTGAAAAAGTACTTGGGATCACTTCCAAGTCTTTTCCATGCCTCTGAAGAGGATGCTATCCATTTTCTTTTAATACTGTCAATCTCTAAATACAGCTTTTCCAGTTAAAAAACAAGAGACATGGATTACCACATATAATCAACCAAATAATAGCAAATTTTTGTCACCATGTCATTTCATTTAAGAAACCTACCATTTATTTCTGCAAAGATCAAATGAAATCCTGACAAACTGACTCTCCCACATGTAAGAGTCTGAATACCTACATAGTAATATTAAGTTAGATTACACTGAAAACTATGATTCACTAAAAAGAAAATCAAAAGTACATAACACATCAGTGATCTACAAACTTAACATCAGACACTAAGTTAGCTAGATTTCCCTTTTAAAGCTACCAAAGCTATAAAATTACAATCTTAATATAGCCGTTCAATAATCAGGAGCATTCTACCCATTATATAATTACTACTTCGATGGGCACAGCCTTAACCATCTCTTGACATTCTAAATAGGACTCTGCCAACAGCACCTAGTTACTGAAACTAAACACACGGTAACTACCTGGCCTTTCTGTTATTTCGTTCTTCCTAAGAATTTAAAAGTAATTAGTAGTCTAGGATGAAAACACTGTAAGAGGAAAACGTGGAGATGGATTGTCAAAGATGAGTTACATCTAGAGCTCAGGCTAATAATATTCCTTCATACTCACCAAAGGGAAAAGAAAAAGAAAATAGGACACCATGTACTATAAAACAGAAGTAGCAGTGGAGAGTATGTCATTGGCTCGGTAACTGCATTGCTTCCAGGCTCCAGCGCTACTCTGCGCAACTTTGCTGATGTTTAAGTCACTCGCGATCCCACAACAGCACAAAAGCAGAGCTGTGCTTTGAGCTGAGCCTCTTCGTGCAACTTCCTCCCCAACTCCAAGGCCCCCGGTAACTCCGGACACTTCAGAAGCCGCTGGTCCAGCAAACGCTCCCGATGTTTACGGCTCCAGGAGGGCGGTCCGGGAGCGGCGGGACGGCGGTGCCTCGCCGGGCCGTATCTTTGTTCGGCGACGCGCAGGGTCCCCGGGCAGGGCTCCAGGGTTGCCGCTGCTCCCGGGGCGGCTCCACAAAAGCTGTGGGCGCGGAGGGCCCCGGATCGCCGCTGCCGCTCCGCTTTGTTCCCCTCTAGTCCCGGGAGCCGGACGCGGACCCGTAGGGGCCGAGCGGGGGCACCGGGCCGGGCCGGGCTCCCTCCCGGCCGGCGCCACGACGCGGGCGGCGAGAGGAGCGGAGAGCAGAGGCGGGGAGGGGAGGGAAGGGGAGGGAAGGGAAGAGGGGCATCCGCGGCCGGAGCCGGCAGCAAACTCCGCCCACCTCGGCGGAGCGGCGGGAGCGCCCCGGTCCGGCGGGCTCCGCGCGGGCCAAGGCCGGGCCGAAGCGGGACGGCAGTGCCCGCACCTTCCCTGCCCTCCCCTTCTCTCCCTTCCTGCCGGCGCCCGGCCCCGGACCGCGGCCCTGAGTGCCTCCCTTCACCGCGCGGAAACTCCCGAGGGAGCCGGCCGGCCCCGACCGCCGGTGCTCACCTGGCGCTGCGTCGTCCCCTGGCGCGGCCGCTGCCCCGCAGGGACCGGCGGGTCCTGGTCCGTGTCCGTGTCCGTGTCCGTGTCCCGGTCCCCGCGCCCCCTCAGGGCTCCCGCAGTTCTGGGGGCCCCGCGCGCTCAGCGCGCGCCGCGCCGCCACATGTGCGCGCGGTGGCGGGGCGGCAGCGCCGGCGGGGCTCGCGCGGGGGCGCTGCGCCGCCAGGGCACGGGCGGGCGGGGCAGCCACAGAGAGGCCTCGAACCCGCCCCGCCTCCGCGAGCATTGTGGGATAGGTCCTCCAGCACCGCCCGCGAGGGAGGGGCGGGGGCGGGCACAGGGAGGGCACGTGACCTGCCGGCCCCGCCCCGCGGCGGGGTCGCGCGCTGCGGGCGGTGGCGCCCTCTGGTGGCGGAGGGGTGCGCCCGAGGGATGCGGGCCTGACTGTGACGTCATCTGATCGCGACGAGGGGCAGCCGGATGCCAACCCTTTTAAAATTATTTATTTATTTTAGCATTATTATTATTATTATTTTAATAAAATTGGACGAAATGCGCACTGGAGGAAGCCCTGTGACCACAGGGGTGTGTGACGGGGCCGCGTGGGCCCGGCCCCGCAGGGGGTGGGAGCAGTGCTGCTGCAAGGGACTGACCCAGAGGGCGCGGGGTCGGTGCCGGCCGCGGCTCGTGGGGCTCACGGAAACAGTGCGATTTAGTTCTTATACGTTCTCTTATACGTTCGCATAACCCGTTATTGTCAAAGTAGTTTGCCGTGTTGTCGTAGGTCCTGCCTATGGCAGACGGGAAAGCAGTTCGGTGCAGCAGCCGCTGCTGGCCTGTTTTTTGCACTGCATCACAGCCCCACCAGACTGTGTCTGCTGGGGGCTCCTCCGCACTGGCTCAGAGCAGAGTTGGGGAAAGCCCAACCCTCAGTTGAACCTCCAGGGCAACATACTTGCCATAGCAACAAACGACAGGGAAGGGGAAGCAGCGACCCCATATACGCAGGATTGGTTGAGTGTCTCCTTGTGTTCAGAATGAAGCTGTCGCAGCCTGAGTAGAGTCAAATATGTGTCAGCGTTAGCCTCTCAAAAATTATGAGACCTTATTAGTTGCCATGATCGCTGACAGAGTATTAATTTGAGATCAACTCAGAAGAACTTCAGTGCGAGCAGGCTGTGGGGACAGAATGTAAGAATCACAGGAAGGAATGGAAAGACTGTGTCCATTGGCAGGCTGTAGGGAAATGTAATAAGAAATAAGACTACAGACAGAGTTTGGTGTGCTGATTTAAAGGTAAACTGGCAGGGGAAATGAACCCAACTCAAAAGAGATTATAAGTCAGAATAACAATTTAATAAAAATAGTACAATAAATACAATTACACAGACAAACAATTGGTTTTAACCCACAAAACCCAGACGTATAACCCAGCACCCTGTGGCATGAACAGAGTGGTGTTTGTTGGGCCCCCCTCCTTATGCTGAGCCCCACGTGGTCCCCCTGAGTCCAAAAGTAAAAGGAGAGGGAAAACCTGTTGGTGAGAGTGCTGGTTGCAGTCCGGTCAAGGGTGGTGATTGCAGTCCAGTTGGGAGTGCTGTTGCAGTCTGGTTGAGAGTGGTGGTCACAGTCCAGTCCAATTTCCAGTCCTTCTCTGGATCCCATGAGTGGTACCAGAAGTCCCAAAACTCCAAGATTATATATCCTCAGGTTCAGGGAGGAATGCCCAGTACCTCCCTCAGAGCGGCGAGTTCCACAGTGGGTGTGAGGACAGGAGCACCCTCCTATCTCACAGGCCTCTTAACACCAAGCTTATAGCCTGAGGGGTCAGGCGTGCTCTGGGCAGCTGCTGTAAATGGTCTATTGATAACAGTTTCTGAGAAATCGCATGGAAAGGTATAGAATACACAGTTTGAGTTACACCCACACAGTGATGACCTGATCCCAGATGTTCTAACTAGGACATTTGGAAAGCACACACTTAGGAATGGAGATGAAATGTTTAAGATGAGTCTGACTTTAAAGTGATTAAGGTTAATGAACTCCCCAAATCTTCAACTGGATAATATAAAGAAAGCAATTAGGTGCTTTGAAAATTGAGATTAAACAAAGTCCTGTAATAAAACAAGTGACTCCGAGTGCTGTGCTTTGAATAGACTGACTGATGTTTCTCTGGGTAGAGCAGCATGGTGAGGAAGCAGAAGCAGAGTCATATTCATAGTGCAGCTGTGAGTACGGATAGAAGCTAGATGTGCCAGAGGAAAACTGGAATACACACAGGGAGAATGGTGTGAATGAGGGCATGGTCATTTGGAGAGGGGAGCAACAGGGAGTGTGATACTAGAAATGAATGGTATTTGGGTGAGGGAGAGAGAGCGATGATGGCAGAACAGATTGAGAGATTTTGATCACAATATGGTACAGCAAATGAGGTGAGGTGATGCTTGATGAAAGCAGGGATGAGTCAAGAGTGGGACTCCTGAGGGACAAAATGGTAGTTATCCATGAGTGGAGAAATGAGGGTTGGCATAGATCACAGAGGGGAAGATGGAGATAACTGTGTATTTGTGCTGTGAATTTAAATTCTTAACTTGGAAATATTCTGTGCCATCCTACACCTTTTACCATCTACACAACATTGCAACAAAGGCACAGGTAAGTGACTATTTATTATAAGGTTTTTTTAATGTAATAAGCCTGAATGACCCTGAAGTGGTATTTCTGGAGTCTGGAAGAGATATGGTGAGAAAATTTTAGCATAATGGATTATTCTTCCTATTGTGACAGTGTTGGGAGTGATCAGTTAAAGCCACCAAAATATGCTATGCCCAGGGAACAAAAGAATTGTTGATGATATAAAACTTTTGCTCTCTGATTTCAGATGCTCATTTAAATAATGAACAATTCATCTATGGAGCTTTTGAAGAATGTAAATATATTCAAATGACATAAAAAACATCTGAAGTGGAAACTCTGAGGGTTATTCAGAGCTCTTTTGCCCTCTCTGCCCCATGCAGGGTCAGTCATGCATATGTTGCTCCTTCACTCAACCTGTTCAAGATCTCTGATGGTGGACTCTCTCTTCCAAAGCATTCTTCCTCAAGCAGTCTATTTCTCTAGTTTAAAATTTATACTTTTGGAAAGCTGTTCTGATCCATAACTGTGATCCTTCCTGCTGCATCAGAAGCCCATATATTTATCCCTGTCCACCGTAAGCTCTAGGATCAGACTGTCCCCTGTCTCTTTGCAACAGATTTTTATTTGCTTTAGCTTTTTCAATTCCTTCTCAATCTTTATCTGAGGTTAAACAACATTACTAAAATGAAATATATGGTAAGTGCTTTGTCCGTCCTATCCAAGGGGCCTGTTACTTTGCTATAAAAGGTAATGAGACTGCTTGGGCATCATTTCTTGAAAAATTAGTGTTGGACATTGTCTTCTTCTTAACTTTGAAGCAATTAGAAATTGTTATCTTGATTAGTTTTTCACAGAGATTTTTTTTTTATATATCTCTCTCCCTTTTTCCAATAATGAATTTTGATTATTGCTTTGATTTGCAATTCAGCTTTGTCATGTGTTTATATATTATGCAAAAAAAATTAAATGAACTGAAAATAAACTAGGGGATTTAGCTCATCGTTTCAATAATGTGGTGATCTGAAGTCTCTGTATTTGGTACTGGCATTCTCATTGCTTTTTAGGGAATTTTAAAATTTTGAAATTCTGCTATGTATGTATCTATCCAAATAGGTTCTGTGTTTTCTATTTCAAGATTCCTTAGATACTTGGCTGCACTGAGAACATCATTTCAATGTTAGCAGTTCTTTTTTTCCCTTGTTTTAAAAATGTTTGATTGAAAGACTGTTTTTTTATTTACATGCAGTGTGTCTTTGCTTGCAAGTTTCATTGTTTGGAAATTACAGTATGATATTCTATAAATAAAAGTAAGTGGGATGAGTTAACACACACTAGTGAAGAATTCAAGACTTCTGCTTTTTAGCCAAAGTAAATGCAAAAGGTTGGTCTAATACATAAAAAAAAAATCTTTTTTGAGGGTATAGTCAGTCAGACTAAGGACAACTGTTCTGTTTTCTTTTTTTCTTCTTCTTTCTTTTTTCTTATATTTGTTTTAATACATCACAGGATCCACAGAATATTCTGAATTGGAATCACAAATTCTAGAAGCCATGTTGGAAACAAAGTTATTAAACCTCTGCTTTGGATCTTTGGTTGTTTAATTGGGGTTTTTTGATTTCTTAACTCATTTGAAGAAATTACTCAGTTGCTACTTGTTCTACTTTTCATGTTTGAACTGACTATGTCTACCATTTAGTAAAGTAAATACAACCCCCCCTCTTGGCTTAATCTTTGGCAAAACTGAGTTTCAAAAGGTGAGTGGGATCAGATCAGAAAAAAATCGACAGTACACATTTCAGAGTCACAGTATTTCACTGTCCAGGAACCATGCATCAGTGTCTGAGAGCTTCCTGTTCAACTAAATTGTGTTCTGGCTCTGAAGCTGAAGATCTTGGACAAAACCCTAGGAAATCAGACTCCCTCAGTTCTTTGTGGGTAGGAGCAACCCTTTGGTATAGGATTAGAGGAATCTTGTAATGGTCTTGGCTGGAATTTTTCTCTTGCTATGCCAGGTCGTGGTCACACTTTGACTGTACTCCATGGAGATTGAGTGGAATCCTCTGGAATACTCCCCACTGTAGAAATGACAGATGTTATCAACAGCAATATGGAATATCTTGAAGAAGAAAAAGCAGGATGTGAGATAATTAGCCATAATTCATAATACATAACCATATTGTTTCCTTGGCAAGAAATGGGATAGCTGTTATCCTGTCATGGAGACATCATTCTTTAATTATTCCAAGAGTTCCTGTGAGCATTTTGCAAATATCCTACCACTATGGTGTGACCAACCACATTTATTCACAGGCTTAAGACAAAAAATCCTTGGAGCTTTTAACACCAGCATTTGGTATGTGCATACCTTGTAGTTTCTCACGAAAACCCAACAGTACACTTCTTAGCAAAAATAGCCAACGTTCTTTTGTCATTCCAAATTATGTCTTCTAATTTGTGGGATGGTGACTTGTCTAACCAATTTAGCCCATTGAATTTAAGCTGAACCATATTATGTAATGGTTCTTTTCATCACCCTCAACAGGCTTACTGGTTTCACTCAAACTTGCTGTGACAGGTTGTGATCAATACTGTTAAAAGTGTTGGGTGCAACCACTGCCCTTCATCTTTCATCTTAGAAGAACTATGGGAGATGGCTAAGCACAAGCAAAGTTAAGTTCAAGTTAAAGGGTTTGATCTCATTGGATGGAAAGGTTTTGCTGTGGGACTGTGTGTGTGACAGAGCGAGAGGAGGATAAGAGGGAATGGAGTTAAATGGTGTCATGGTTTAGCCCCAGCTGGGAGCCAAGTCCCACGCAGCCACTTGCTCACTGTCCCACCAGCAGGACTGGGGAGAGAACTGGAAAGGTAATAGCCAGAAAACTCATGGGTTAAGTTACAGACGATCTAATGGGGAAAGCAGAAGCCACACTCACAAGCAGGGAATGATTTCGCTGCTTCCCATGGGCAGGCAGGTGTGCAGCCATCTCCAGGAGAGTGGGGCCTCATCACACGTAATGGTTACTTGGGAAGACAAACCTTTCTGAGGCCTCTACATAGGAGCATTGATTGGTATTTTGTTATTTGTGTGTTACCTCCTAATTTGTACCATACAGCTGGACTCCATAGATGGAGGTACTGTTCTTATTGCATACCAGCACTCTCGTACATCAACAAACTTAGAAAAATATGTTCCTTCCCTATCTTTTTTCTTATTTAGGAAGAACAGGAGTCTCTTAAATCCAACTTACCATGCCATCAAGTTGTGATCCAAGAGAAGTTAAAGAACATGATGCAGAACAGTGTCTCCAGAAAATGTCTGTCTGTTCATACCAAGAGATATTACCTCCCCTCCTGTCTAAGCTGTTCCTCTCCCAGAGGTTTCCATTTCAGGAAAAAAACCCCAACCACACAAAATACAAATAAATCCCAAAGTGATGGTTCTTTACAATAATTTGCCGTGCAGTTTGAAGCGTTGTTTCTGCTCTCTGTTGTGAGGTGGTAATCTTGACCAAAAACAAAAGGCAGATAACAAGAGATGGTTATACCCTCTGATTGCTCCACATGAGGCAATCAAACTTGTCTGGAAATACCCAGAGAGGGCAGGAGACAATCCATGTTCACTTTTGGTAATGTTTTGGTGAGGTGGTGATGAGAAAAGATGATTCTACTGTTTTGTTTAGATTTTGTTTAGTTCGTGTCATGTTTTCGGTAAGTCTGAGTCTACCATATCAGTTTGTTGATCCCCTGTGTTGGTTGCATAGCTCTTCCTCAGAGAAGGCAAAACCAAAAATGCAGTTCAGTGTCACACAGGTGGAAAGAGGAGTTGCTCTGAGGCAGCAGCTCTCAGGGGCACTTTCAGACCGTTTCTTCTATTAACTGCTTTTAGAGTTGTGCATGTTTCTTTAAATGCATTCTTTAAATGCATTCAGCAAATGTCAAGTCCTAAGCACAACAGGCAATAATCCAAGTGACTAAAATAAGAGCAAAACTTGGCCATAACTTTTAAAGAAATCATTTCAGCCTTCAGATTATTTGCTGTATAGCTCTCATGAATTACGTCTGCTGCCAACACCACCACCATCAGCTTTTCCAAACAGCCATTTAGCTTTGTATTATTATCAAATACTTTATGTTGATAGCATAACTTGAAGATTAGTGATTTACTGCACCCAAACTGGGCTATGTTATTACAGTCCCTAGGCAGTAATCCCCAGCTGATCACCCAGTAGAGTCACCCATGAGTTACTAGCAAATGGTCCAGTACAAACTGAAGTGCTGTTCACTATCTAATAAACACATTGTTCATAGTGGACCTGCTAATAAGGGCACCACTAAAAAAAAATCCCTTAATCATATATAATACTGCTGGAGTATTTTTAGTGCATGCTAAACAATCTTTATACCGAAAACAAGAACTAAGCATTCACTCTACTGAAAGTACTACACCCCACTTAATATACCCTGAGAACAGTATTTTCAAAAGTGTGTTGAAATAAATTATTTCTGACATTTTCCCCAAAGTAGCACTTCTGCTTGTCTACAGCTGCTCAGGTTGACATTATGGAAGAAGGCAGCTAGGTGGAGAAGTTGTTAATGTTATGGTGCTCATGCTCATGCAGCCACCACTGAGGCTGCACTAGAAGAGGTGTTGGCTTTATGCACAGAGAAGAGTTTTGTTGAATTGCTGAGATTACCCACAGGTCATAAAATTAAGCAGAAATGTAATTATTTCCTAGGTCCATCATCACATGTCTTGGGGTTTTTCTAGGGTGTTTTGGTTTATTTTTTCTTCCATGGTTACATTCAAAAATTATTTTTAGCACTTAAACTAGGATTTTTTTCAGTGAGGCTTTTTCCACCTGAAGTTTATTAGTCCTTTGAATTTCAAATGCTGAAAGAAAAATAATCAAAACTCTAAACACCTTCATACCTGTAAATATACCAAAAAATAGGGAAGTAACCTTCCCAATGATAATTCAGTGAGTTGAGCACCTTCTGATATGTCCTCTGCTGCAGTCTCAGGGCTCCCAAGCTGTGGGGCATCCTGCATGCTGTAAGGTCTCTGTCCCTGATGCTCTCAGCTCTACATGGCAGACCAGTGAGAGTGCCATGGTGTGAACACGTCACCCAAGCAAGGCTCACAGGACAGAGAGGTGAAAGACAAATTCTGGAGTAGTGTCTGAAAGGAAAATCCATCATGTCTTCAATGGACCCAGAGCTAAAAAGACAGACTGGGTTGAAACTATCATGCAATGTCAGAAATCAGTTAGCCAGCTGTTGAAGAAAGCAACAGCATCTTAATTACCTTCTTCCCCCAACACCTTGATGTTACCATAGACCTGTTTAGGTGGAGTACCTGCAGGTAACTGCCCTCATCCATAACAACTCCTTAGTTGTCCTTCATGATCTGTGTGTGCTTTTTACACTGGATATATCCTTGTGATATACCTGTACAGGATGGTCATGTATCCATTTGTTTATCAGACAGAACTCACAGAATCACAGAACGGTTGTGGTTGGGAGGGACCTCTGAAGGTCATCTCGTCCAATATCACCTCACTCAGGCAGGGCCATTTAAAGTGGGTTGCCCAGGACCATGTCTAGATGGCTTTTGAATATTTCCAAGGATGGAGACCACAGCCTCCCTGGGCAGCCTGTGCTGGTGCTTAGTCACCTCTCACAGTGAAAAAGTGTTTCCCGATATTCAGAGGGAACCACCTGTGTTTCAGGTTTTGTACATTGTTGTGGGTCCTATCTCTGGGCACCACTGAAAAGAGCCTAACTCTGTCTTCTCTACACCCTCCCTTTAGGAATTTGTACACACTGACCCTCCTCTTCTCCCGGAGGCTGGACAGTCCCAGTCTCTTGGCCTTGCCTCATATGTGAGGCACTCCAATCCCTTCATCATCTGTGCAGTCCTTTGCTAGAGTCTCTCAAGTAGCTCTGCATTGCTCTTGTAGTGGGGAGCTTAGATCTGGATACAGCACTGCAGGGCTAAGCAGAGGTGAAGGATCACCTCCTTCAGCCTGCTGGCAATACTTTGCCTAATGCAGCCCAGGGTATACCGTTTGCCTTCTTTTCAGCAAGGGCACCTTGCTGGTTCGTGTTCAACTGTGTCCTCACTAGGACCTCCAGGGCCTTTTCTGCCAAGCTGCTTTTGAGCAAGTATGGGGAAAAAAAAGAAAAAGAAAATGGTATGAAATTAGATGAGCTGTTCTGTGAATTTCCAAATTTATGAA